AAGCTTCAGAAAGAGGTTATAAATTTGAGAAAGTATTCTGAGTTTAAAGACAGCTCTTTGAATGCTAAGGATGAAGAAATCAAGGTAGTACCTACTGGCAACTCCGCCCACCCCCAAGGTACCTGCAGTGTGCTTCTTCCATTCTTAAACTAGTATATTTGCTTTATTTACAGATGCTCATGAAGAAGATAGAAACCCTGTCAAAGGCAATACAAATAGAGTCTAAGAAAACAAAGAGAGAAGCTGCAATAAGAGAGAGCGATTCAGTATCAGCTAAGGTGGATGACAAGATAAGAAAAACAAACTACTCAAAAAGGTTAGCATTTCGTCTCTGTCCCACCAACCCTTTGGCCGTTCCCGTGTACTTTTCCATTGATCCAAATTTTTATGATTATATCCACTTAGGAGATATTTACTAATTTTGTGATTGTTCCAGGTCCTGAATGCCTCCTGTAGATGCATTTTGAGAGAGAGTGAAAACGAGCTTGGAAATCAGTAGGTGTATCATACCAGTTCTCATATATGCACAGAATATGATTGATGCAAGTTGGCAGAAATAATGTTTTCAATTGATTTGTAAATGGGATTGTCATAGCGTTTTAGAGGGGAGTTATTTTCAGCTAAGATTCAAAGGGATGATATTCAATTCAACTGAAAAGGTCATGTAAATAATTCAAATAAGTAACGATAATTTATATTCCGAATGGTAACATTGAGCATATGACAAATTCAAGAACCTGAAAATTGTCGGAGACGCTAAACAGGGGAAACAGATATTGCTACAACTTAACTATTACAGACCGATTTGAATTTCATTAGGCATTTGCAGTATAAAAGTTGAATATATACCTCCTTGACATCATCAACTAAAGTAACTGCAAAATTCTGAAACTCATTTATATCTTACAATCTGATCTCAAACCATCTGCGTCCTTCGACCAGAGGTTAATCAATAGTGCTGGCCAATCGATAGCCTTTGAAGGCGGGGGCGGATGCAGAATTTAAAAGTTAGGGTGGCACAATCGAACTTGCAAAAAAATTGGGAGAAATTTTACAATCGAAAATTTACGGCCAAAAAAATCATACCCCATGTAATTTTGCATTCAAAAATTTACATGGGATATAACTTTTTCAAATGTAAAATTTCGAAAAAAAATTATGTTATGTTCCATATAAATTTCCTAATAAAATGATAAAAATTATATTGAGAAATTTGTATTGCAAAAATAATATATGTTAATGAAATAATTGAATTTTTTAAAAGAAAATGTGAGTTAAACGTCTTTTTTTAAAACTCACGTTTAACGCATTTTTAATTATTTTCGATATCTTTAGATTATTTGATATGCCTATAATATAATTCTCGAAATAAACTTTGGGATAACATAAGCAATTTGTAGATTCGACTAGCGTATGATCGTCGAAGAATTTTTAAAGTTAGCATATTATCGAAATTTTTGAAATATTAATTTTGAACAACTTTGACAAGTCATAGCATTTGCTACGATTGTTCGTTTCGTACGCTATTAACAACGTAGAAAACTAGACCGTGAACACTTCGAAATTGTATTAAGAATGCAATATTTTGCCTTTGTTTAATGGAGAGTTAAGATTTTGTTAAAAGGCGAAAGAAAATGAGAAAAATTAAAATTTATTGTGATTTGACACTATTTGATGGAGATTAAAATCAAATTTTTATTAAATTTTGATAAAAGTTAAATAGTTATGGATTCCATGAAATATATTATTAAAATTAATTGTTAACTTTGATTTAGATTAAAATTTATATTTCAATCGATACCAAATATGATTATATATATATAAACTCAAAAGTTGGGGGCACGGTCCGCCCCTGTTTGAAGGGATCTCTTCATTCAAGCATAATTGACATAAAAATACAAATAGAACCTAGGGGCTTGGTGGGCATTTGAGGTTACTTGATTTAGGGTCCGTTTGATTGTAAGGGTGGAAAACAAGTGGAAATAAAATGAATTTCAGAGAAAATAATTGTCTAGAACTTGTTTTCCAGATAATTGTTAATTAAGTGTGTTTAATTGATATAATTTTTAACTGAAAAATTTTAAATTTTTGGATCTTTTTGTTCACGTTTGGCTTTATTTTACATGTAAATTGTTCATTAAAGTGATTTTTTTTTTTTTTTTTTTT